TTTGTTTTGTTCTGTAGAAACGCCAGCAGGTTTTAAAAGAAATGAGCAATAACGATATCCTGCTTGGCTCTAAAGTGACCGATGTCCACATTGTTTTCTCCATGGTGATCGCTGTGTGGACACTTCACCTCTTCCTGCCGCCGCCCCCTCCCACGCCCCGCGGGGGTTTGCTGCAGGGGGAGAGAGGCGCCTTTTGGAAGAGTGACGGGGTAATGAGTGTCGGGAACGCCCCGCGACAGCGAGGAAAAGAACCCGTCCCGATCTCACCCGGGGGGGTGTGGGGGGGGCGGAGTCGTCCCGGGCAGGAGGGGGGGAGGAAAGCATATGAGGCCGAGGAGCGGAGAGCGCTCAGGTTAGTGCTGGTTTGTCTGGCAGACGCACAGGAACACTCTGGTCTCCCTGCGTGACTCGTGTACGTCATGTAAGTAATCTTTACCTCCTGTTCATGTCTTTAATGAGCTACGCCCTTTGTGGCATGTTTATGTTTAAGCAAGACCTTGTTTGGGTGGTTTGGAAAAGCCCACATAGCGACAGAAATGCTGCAGTCTGATACAGGCTGCACATAGTCTCTCTTTGCGTCCCGGCCTGCGCTTGCTCGTCCCGGAGATGGAATGCTGAAATCTAAAAATATTGCTCTCGATTGAAACATTTGGCAGCTTCAGCTGTGGGACTATTTTCCTTCTGTCTGCCCCCTCGGCTGTAACGGCGTAGTGAATGTGTCCTACCTCCAACCACGTTCACGTGGATGTCTATTTCAAGCAGAAAAAATGTATAAAATATCAATAATATAGAGATACAGCTACACTTTTTAGGATGTTGTAAAATCATAACGAGGAATCAGCGGTTCCTTCTCCTGGTTTTCAAGAGCGAATCCAAAGTGTGCGTGTGCGTGTGTGTGTGTGTGTGTGTGTGTGTGTGTTACTACAGCACGCTGATGTCTAATGCAGACCGACCCTCTTTAGACTTTCTCCCCCTCTGCTGAGGAGATTATAACAGTCGGAGAAAGAGTACAGTTTGTCCAGTGTGTGTGTGTGTGTGTGTGTGTGTGTGTTGGTATATACTCATTCAAGCCAACGGTTAGCATTGCTATTGAGGCGTTGTGTGTGTGTGTGGACGGCAGTATGTGTTTGCATACAGGCCTGTGCATCTCTGGAATGTGTTCATCACCACGTTGAGGTGGGGGGTTTGTTTGCCTTCAGTCACCATTGCCATGGCTTTGTGTGTGTGAGTGTGAGTGCACGTGACTGTGCAGGTATTCACCTGTTTGGTATCTTTTTAATGCAGCTGGCACGTCATTTCTTTAGTGTGCCTGTGAGTCTGCACACGCACGCGTCTCCGTGCGTGTTGGTTCCAGCTTCAAGCCAGTGATCCAAACACTCGCACTAGCAATTACGTTCCCCAAAAGAGGATCCGTTTGAGCGGCGGCGTTTCAGTTTCCACAATCAGCACATTCTCCACAGTCACCCCACATCTATCGTTCAAAATATCTCAACTACAACAACCGTAGGTTCTTGTTTTTATTTTCAAAACTGAAAGCTGGCTGCCGTCTTTCAAGATGTACCTCCAAACATTGGTTCCATTCTGGAGAGATAGACTGAGTACCGTAGAACTTTTGAATGCTTCCTTTACCACAAATTTCAGATGCAGACTGGGCGAAATCTTTTTTCACACGTTGAATGCGTTTGTCTATTTAATGTGGGAAAATAGCCGATTCAATAATGTATTTGCAGTAGCTGCCAAGTGACGTTTCCCCAAGGGGAGACTTTGCCAGCTGCTCTCCATTGATTACCTGCTCCGTCACCGACACACACACACACACACACACACACAGAAATGAGGATGTTGACATTTGTGGATGCAGACCTTATGACAGGGTCTCATTGGACCCCTCCTCGCCCCACCCACGGGTGTAATCGTGCATGGATGTGTGTTTGTTTCCTGGGGCCACACGCGCAGACAGTGATGGGTAGGTGGAGGAGGTGGAGGAGGAGGAGGAGGAGGGGGTCAAGGGTTCAGCAACAGGGCCGTACAAAGATGAACCCAGATGCTCACGGCCCAGTGGTTGTCTAGACCTCGGTGTGTTGCATAACCGCTGCAGTCCGTGCGCTTCGGTCGTGCGTGTCTCCACCCGGCTGCTCTTTCTTCAGTAGGAAGCGAGCAGCGCCGCCGGCTGCCCGGGCCGTACGGGTTGCATCATGCGCCGCCCGCCTCTCCGTCTCCATTAGCGCTCTCTGGAGCTGCCTAAATCAGCCCGCAAGACACATGACCGATAACCTTTTGAACTCTGCCCCTTTTTAAGCTTTTTATTGACTCACAAACGGAATCTGGGCCGTCCCAGAAGGGCCCTTTTTAGTAGCCAGGTTTGGTTGTAATTTTTGGGTTTTCGTTCATCCAGAAGATCCAGGGAAGATGCTTAACTGAGCTCATTTAGCCTGGAGGGGGATTAGTGCTCATCAGCTCGTTATAGAACGGTCCTCCCTGCACCACCTCCTCTCTTATTCCCTATTTCATACACTCCACTGCTCCTCAAGCCAACAACCAACACCATTATGTTGTATTCACCAGACACAATGTTCTCTGTTAAGGTAAGGGGGGGGGGGGGGACACTTGGTGCAGTCATCAGTTTAATTTTAGTTTGAAGTTTAAAGCTGATCTTTGTGTTCAGTGTGTGGTCACAGTTGGTGTCATGGCCATGGATTTTTTTTTAAAGTCTATACTTTGTACAACGCTGTTGTTGTTGTTGAGCAGTAGCTGGGTCGGGGAGTCGCGGTCCCTCTGCAGTGCACTGTGAACAGACGGACTACGGTCCTGGTCACTCGGAGGCAACCTCTGTGAAATGCATCACTGCTTCCTGGGATGGACCTGCTCACTGGGCTTCTGCTCTCCTGTAATTAGCCTGCGAGGTAGTCGCCCGTGTAGTCAGCTGTGGTGGAAAACACCGTCATCCTTTCCTTTCAGCTGGAGGTCCCCCCCCCCCCCTACCCCCCTCTACGGGCCACAGCGATCTAGAGATGGTGCGCATCCCTCCTTTATCCCTCCTTTCTTTCTAGGTCATCGCCCACTGTGACACGCAACCTCTCGCCCCCCCAAACACACAGCAGACATCCGGAAGCCACGTATCCTCAGCCGCCAATATGTTGCGGTTGGAAAGCGTAAAGAGGCAGTCGGATTGAAAACAACGCCGTGGTTAGCATGCGATGATCAAAGTTTCCATCGTGGAACAGAAAACCAAATTCCTTTTTTACAGACGTCAGCTGTTCACTGCAAACTGCAGTACAGAACATAAATGGAAAGTTAGGAAAACAAGACTACAGTTATTCTTAACTGACACACACACTCATTTTGATGCTTCACCAATGCACTCCTTGTTTTGAGGGCTTTTAGCGGTCTGACCCTGGAGGCTGTGAGGTAACAGACGACTCTAGCTTCTGATTTTATTCCAAACGGACCATGTTTGCATCTCTCCTCTGATCTGCCGATCTGCGTGGAGAATGAATTGATGTAGAATTGATTTCATCTGACCAGTTTCAGTCTGTGGATCATGGGATTATAGTGACCACCTCAAATGTGTGTGTGTGTGTGTGTGTGTCAGTCTGAGGATGATGTCATCATCGTCTTCTGCACGTCTCGTGGGTTTCTGTCTTTATGCAACTAAGTGAACAATCATTCTTTGCCTAGAAGATGTTCTCTCTCTGATCACTTCCTCCATCGTGCTCATTATAGTCATTTCTTTTTTTGCTGGATCTTCTGAAGGTTCTCCCCAGAGGCTCTCCGGCTCTTGCTTTTGCGCCGAATGTTTGAATCATTATTCTCGGTGATGCAAATGTGTTTGTAATTTAAGCGATACTATTCTCAACCTCTTTTTGTTTGTCAAACAGTCGAGATGAAAGGTGTGTGTGTGTGTGTGTGTGTGTGTGTGTGTGTGTGTGTGTGTGTGTGTGTGTGTGTGTGTGTGTGTGTGTGTGTGTGTGTGTGTGTGTGTGTGTGAGAGAGAGAGAGACGGTTTGTGCACATATGTGGGTCTTCAAGCTTCCTCAGAACAAACGTGTGTTTGTGTGTCCACGCGTGTTGTGTGTATGTATACGTGCATGTCTGTCAGCTGTCATGATCGCTTTTGCTCTTTCTCTCTGCCGCCGGTCTGCTCAGTGATGAGAGCGGGGGGGGGGGGCAGGGTCACATGTTGAGGAAGACGGCTATAAAAAGACTAATTAAAAATGTGCGAATAGATCTGTTGGAGGTGAGGAGGAGGGAAACGGGGTGTGATGTAACCTCGGAGTGAAGACTTGTAAAGGACACAAAGCTGCTTCGGAGGGATGAGCAGGGTGGAGAAGTAGGTGGAGATGGAGGTGGAGATGTAGATGGAGGGGGAGGTGGAGAAGTAGACGTAGATGTAGATGGAGGGGGGTTCTAAACAATTGTTTTTCTGGCAAGTCTGAGTTAAGAGGCAAAAACGACGCTCAGATAGAAGTAATATGAACCAACTGTCCCCTCCCGTCTGTCCAAACTAGCTGCGTGTGCATTAGGACACTTTTAATATCCGTCCCACCACAAGCACCAGGACAAGCTGGGGATCCAGATCTGACCGCGTCACACTGGGAATCAGTCCGTTGTTTACTGCCCGTCTGTCCCACACACACCGTCCACACCTTGTCTGTCCTCTGCGCAGACAAAGGGCTCCGGCAAAGGAACAGTTGCGCCGGCTTTCGGTGTTTTCGCTGCCCCCCCGCTGGGCAGAAGATTGCAGCTGTTTTTGCCCGTTGTCCTCCTCTCTTTTTCTCCCCCTTTCTCCCTTTCAAAGAATTTCTATTTGAATGAAAACCCTGCCCTGGTGTTTTGTTGTGCTCCGAGGGGAGGGGGGCGGGGGATGGATCCAATTGGTCCAAACCCGTAGTGGGAGGACCAATGGGAGCGTACCTCCTCCCCCCCCCCACTCCCTCGCTCTCGGCCTGACGTGTGATTGGCCGGCTGGGAGGAGCCAGACTCTGTATTAAAGCTTGTCCCGTCTGCTCCACTTCAGTGTTGAAGCGAGTCCCCCTGTCAGCCGGAGAACACTTTGTGTTTGTGTGCGTGTGTGTTTCTGAGTGTGTGTGTGTGTGTGTGTGTACATATCGGTGCGTGTGGACGCTTTTGTTGAGGCGAGCCGGCTGGATAAGTGAGCGCTCGGCTGTTATCTGACTTGGACTTCCATCTGTTTCTCTCCAGGACCGTGGAGTCCTCCGTCTGAGCAGCGGGACGGCTTATTTGTTTGCTGTCAGCTGGACGCGTTTTGACACTCGCCGCTCCGACACCGTGACGGGGAGCTGAAAGGCCGTCGCGTCGCCGCCTCATCTACCGGACCCACGTTTCGGATTAAGGAGCTCCCCGTCGACTCTACTGTGGCTGCCCGGTGACCCCACGATCTGCCACCGAAACCCCCCCCCCACCCCGACCTTCCGGGTCACGCCGGGCTTAATAGAGGTGGTCTGGCCGGGCCTGATGTGGAATCTGACCCCGACTGGCCGCGTCCCAGAAGTAGCCTTTGACTGAGAGGGAGGATAAAGGAGCAAGAGGGGGCCACAGGGAAGAAAAGGAGGCCGATACGGAGAGAAGTGGGAGCCGCGGCACAGCGACCGGTAAGGAAGTTAAAGGGGGAGGGGGAGGAAAGTGGGAAGAAAAGAGAGGTTACAATAGAGCTCTATTCTTAAAGCTTTGGGAGCTCTAAAAGGATGCTCCCCCTCCCCCCCCCGTTTGTCTCTAGTCTAACTTCTGTCTCCTTGTGTGCAGCGGTTGCTATAAACCACTCTTTGCTTTATAAAAACAAATAAATAAATACACTTGATTCTTTGCTCGTCTTCTCTCTCGTGCGTCGTTCTAAAAAGCTTTTGACTGACGGAGAATGTTTTTCCTTCTCTCCGTCAGCTCCTCCAGCATGCCGGTGGAGACCCTGCGGCCGTCGGACGGCCGCCTGGCCGGGGGCCCCTTCCCCTCCTCCACTCCCTTCAGGATCCTCCACAAGGGCCCCGACTACTTCCGCCGGCCGGCCGAGCCGGGCGCCCGCAAGCCGAGCGCCGTGGAGCGGCTGGAGGCCGACAAGGCCAAGTACGTGAAGAGCCAGCAGGTGGCCCTCACCCGCCAGGCCCCCATCAAGGCGCCAGCCATCCGCAAGCCCCTGGTTCCCCCGGGGATGATGCTGCAGTGCCACATAAGCACTCCCCCCGCCCGCAAAGGCCCCCGCTGCCCGGCCGACGTGGACAACGCAGGAGGGAGGGACGGACTGGGCTGGAGGCGAGGACCCGCTCTTAACTTGGATATTCTGAACAATCTTATCAATGATGTATGCGTTGGCCCGATGCCCTGCTCCCAGTCCTCTTCCTCCACCTCCCCCTCCTCTTCGTCTCCCTCGTCGGGGGCTAAGAGCATCGGCAGCAGCCTGTCTGCCGAGCAAGAGAGGAGCAACCGGCTGCTCAACAACCTCAAACCGCTGAATCACTGCACCGTCAACTCGTCGTCCACCTCCTCCTGCACCTCCTCCCCACTCAACAACAACCTGCGGACCCCCGCGGCAGAGCCCACCCGCCGCCCGCCCCCCGTTCCAGCACGGGCGCCCCGCATTGGGGCTCCAACGCCCTACATCTCCCCCAACTCGGTGACGGTGCGCAGGGTGGACGTTCGTCCTCTGGCGGCGATGAGGAAGCCTCAGAGGGTCCTGCTGCAGCCCCAACTCCGGCCCAGACAGACGGCCCAGGGGCAGGTCGCACACCCCCAGGGCCCGCCCCCCCCGCCGCCGCCTCCCGCCGCCTCCCAGAGCCAGCCCCTCACCCCTTCCAAAGCCCTGCCCTCCCCTCCGGTCTACCTGCCCCCCAGCCCCATGCTGGGCCGAAGCGGCATGATCCCGCCGGCGTCCCCCGCGTTCACCCGCATATCGAACGCCAGCTCCAAGGGCTCCGGCCGCAAGCACCCGGCGCTGCACCGCTCCAAGTCGGACCTGAGCGACCGCTACTCGCGCGCCACCGCCGACCTGGAGCGCTTCTTCAACTACTGCGGGCTGGACCCGGGGGAGGTGGAGGGCATGGGGGGAGTGGAGCCCTTCACGAGGGCCAACTCGGACATCGTGTCCCTCTCCTAGCTCCGCATCGTCAGCACGCCCAGCTCCGAGTGTCGGGGACAAAGAAGACGATGCGGCGGCGGCGGCGTCTGGCCGCGGGCCGTCGGGCAGGAAGACGACGGGGCGGCCCGCGCCAACGAACGGGTCCCGTACGGCATCTCCGTCATCGAGAGGAACGCTCGCGTCATCAAGTGGCTGTACGGCATCCGACAGGCACGGGACACAAACAGCGGCGTGTCGAACGTGTAGACTGACCACGGCCTCTGGCCACACCTTCGGCTGCCTTATGTCACGTTTAAGGAACTCTTTAGTTTTCCCGTGGAGACGCTGGAAGTTACACATCAGTGATTGTTTTTGGGGGTCAGGACTAAACGGACAATACGTCCCCTTTTCTTCACTCGATCCTGTGTAACATTGGTATACGAAAGCAATAATAGACGTGATCGGTGTAAATGATGAGTGTGAGGACGAAGGCGGAGGGACGTTTTGTTTGTTGTTCCTCATGTTTAGGTACTTTGTGTGTGTGTGTGTGTGTGCGCGCTTGGAGGAAGAGAACCACGTTGATACTGTGAAACTTCATATAAAAAAAAAAAGCTTCCATAAACACATTTGTATTTAAAAAGAACGACTTTGGGCTGTAAGACTGTTATTATATGAATCTGTCAGCATGCGAGTGAAACATTTTGTACACATTCATTTTATGGTTTTCGTCGGGCGGACGAAGCGCACACTTTGCTATCACGCAGACAATCACTTCAGCTGGCGTGTGTGTGTGTGTGTGTGTGTGTGTGTGTGTGTGTGTGTGTGTGTGTGTGTGTGTGTGTGTGTGTGTGTGTGTGTGTGTGTGTGTGTGTGTGTGTGTGTGTGTGTGTGTGAGAGAGAGACGTGGTCTCACGGCCCACATAGTAGTAGCGGAAATGTCTCAGCATGCAATGTGAGGATGGTTTGGAAGTGCAGGGAAAAGAGCAGAAGAAAAGGACAAAGATCTCTATTGCGGTGCCGAAAGTGTCTCAGGAAGATGCACTTGCCAAACTCACACAAATATATGGACCAATATTTATTTGGAAAATTTTAACTTAATGTATTTTTAATATTGAACAACTTGATGTACAGAATTCAATCTCCGATCCGAAGTGCAATCCGATCACATCTACCGCAATTCTAGTGTAGGGACATTTAAAAAAAAAAACTACACATGCAGATCGAGGAGCAGGTCACATGACACGCGACCGCCATCACGTACTTGTTCCACTTCCTGTTGGTGAAAGTGGGAGCGAGGGAGGAAGTCCCTCCTGTGCCAGTTCTCCGCCCTCTGCATCTACTTCCCCCTTTTAACGTCTCAGCACATTGAGTGTGAGCGTCCTCCTCGTACCGGTGCCGCTCACGGGCGCACAGGGAGGGCGCCCAGAGGGCCGGCCGGGGAACGAAGGCTGCCGTCGAAATCCGGCACCGGATTCCCAAAGAATCTTCAAGTGAGCGATCCCAAATGCTTTACAGTGGTGTGTTTCTAAACCATGAATAAAAACAAAACAATTGTTAAAGTGTGTTGTTGTTTTTCTCTTACTGGTCTTTGGACTTAAAGCCAGTTCTGTGGTTCCACCTTTCGCTTCACACAGCCGGTCCTCCTGTAGCGCCCTGTGAGCTCAGGTGAAACCGTGCAAACGTGAAGGAGGGTTAGAGGAACACTCGTGGGCGGAGAGAAGCGGCGTGACCCCGTCTGGGTCTGGAAGGTCACTAAGTAGGTCGCTGCGGCTCCTCCATGTTGAGTCACCACATTGTGCCACTTGACGGTTCATGTTTCCAAACACTATGAGTCTGGTTAACAGCAAGTTTCTCACCCAAACATTTGAGCTTTCCCCGTGCAGACTCGCTCTTGGGATCAAATGGCACTTGGTGACATTTGGTACGCGGCCCCTCGCCTCCTTTGGGACCGGCGACCTCTCTGCTGCGGCCTCCTCGCCTGTCAACAACCACAGCGCCCTTTGCATCATGACATCATCGCACAAGGCCTTGGTTTACTGCTCTCCCAAGTTCCTAGTTACAAGTGTGTGAGTGTGAGAGAGAGAGAGAGAGAGAGAGAAGCAAGCAAGCTGCGGATGAAGTATGAAGCTTTATGCCAGCAGCCCGCTTCAGTGTCCAAAGCCTCTCTGAACATTGCAGCCAGTGACACTAATGGGAGAGAGAGAAGCAGATATATGAAAAAAAAATCAAACAACTGATCAGTCACTTAAAAGCTGGTAACTGGAGGAAGTTGATCGGAGAAGATGGAGAGAGATGGAGAGAGCGATATTGACATGTCCTACGAGAGAAAAGCAAACCAGCTCCGTGTTGGAGCAGCTGTGCGTCTCTGGGCCTCTAATGAAAAAGAAACGAGTCCAGCCTTCGTGGCGGGAGGTACACGACTGCATTCCTTTGAAAGTTTAAATGAAATCAGCCTCTAGAAGAGTCTGAAAATATTTGGCAGTAATAAAGTACTGGGTTGGTGCTTTGCCTTTAGTTAAGAACTGTAAATTCTAGTCTAGTTTTTGTCATTGAGAACTAAAGACAATTTAGTGTTGCTTTTGTTTGCAACTTTTGTTGTGCACGAGCAGCAACACATCCGCTGACGTTCTCCAACAGACTCCTTCAGCTCCGCTGTCATAAGGACCGATACAGGAGATCATTCCTACCCAGTGCAATAACATTACAATAAATCATCCCTGGCTAAATAATGACAATAAAAACCCTGCACTGCTGTGATGTTGCTGCTCTTCCTCTTCCTCTTCTCCTTTTACAAATTATTATTGTCTCTTTTGGAAGGTTATTCTTTTGTTTCAGTTTTAGTTTATTAAATTGAATTTAATAATTTAATATTTCTATCTTATATTGTATGTAATGTGTATCTTTTTTAATTTTTTTTTAATTTTCTTCTCTGTACATTCTGCTGTGATACCAAAATGTCCCTCTTGAGGGATCAATAAAGTATCTATCTATCTATCTATCTTTGCATCCTCACAGCCAACTGTGCTGTGATCATTGTTGCTGCTTGTCAAATTCTTTCTGTGAAAAAGTGCAACGTTCCACAATAACATCCAAGTCGGTGTAAAAACAGCCTTTAATGCATTTTGAAATATGAAAAGTTTTTAACGATGAGCTAATATATACTTTTTTCACACAAACATGGACCTTTTCATTGTCTTATATTACTGCTAAATGCTCAAAGACCAAGTTGGGAAACCTTTACATGTGCCTGACTTTCCTAAGTCGGCAACAAAGCAATTACAAATCTTTACTTATGTTCTAAGTGACCGACTAACGCTCTGTTAGTCTACCTTTGTCTTATTGTTTAGCGACAGCATTCGCACAACGTCACATTGCGCTGTGTGGAGCTAACTAGCCAATGTGGCGCGACGCATCCGCGTGTTTCGGTCTAACCGTTACATCACCGGGACGCCTCTGACCCGCTGTGAGGCGAAGGGTCAAAAGGGCTAAACGCCTCGGCTTTGGGAGAGGAACACATGTCCCGAGAGGATAAGATGTCTCCCTGTGGACGGGTGAGGGACAACGTGCCAAGAAGCATCTCTGTGTCATCATTCTCTCTCTCTCTCTCTCTCTCTCTCTCTCTCTGACCATATGTCCATATTTACTGCGAGATCAGCTGGGCTTTGGCATCCCGGTCAGAACACATGCACACTTTGTATCGGCCCGTTGCGTGTCTTCCACTTGTTTCAAATGTTGAGGTCCTCCAAGTGTGCGTGTTTAATGCTGTTTAATGGTCCTCCGATGCAGAGGATAATTCCAATCTTTTCGGGATGAAAACTGATGTGACTTCCATTTACATGCATACATACTTAATCCCGAATTTGCGGGTGGGCAGCAGCAGTGTGAAGGGCGTGTGTGCTCGTTGAGGAGCAGCACACTGCTTGATCCCAGCTGTACCACTAATGTATGTCAAAGCTTGATGTAGTACTTCTGAACGGCCTCGCTGCAGAGGGTGATAAGCTGATTAAGGCGCCGGGGCAGATGGGATCTCTGGGATGTTTTTGACTATATATGTTTGTGAGTGTGTGTGTGTGTGTGTGTGTCACTGGGACCAACTCTCCGTCCCGTGGGAAAACAAAACTAGGTTGTCCGTGTTAGCTCAGCGTGTTGTTGCAGAGCGCTGCCTTCCCTTATCTCCTGGCACTCATCCTTCGATCTTCCTCCCTGCGCCTGTCTGTTCGCTGCTTAAACACACACAGGCGACTCGGTTTGTGTTTACGCTCCTCTCTGTAGTTTTGGACGCGGTGCAGCTTTCATCTCTCAGCCATTCCGCCTAAGACAGGATCAAACGACAAATACTCCCCATCTTACTCCAGGCGGTTAAAATGTGTCAGTAAACACGGTTGGCTGTGTTTCATGTCTGCAAAAAAAATGTGCAAAGAATTCAGGTATCAAAACTTGCCTTAAAAGTAAGAAAGAATAATGATGGGATGCATCGTTATTCCAAAATGAATGCAGGAGATAACGATATCAGTTTCATTAGTGGGAGTGAATGTGCTCCACATCATTCTGCTGCAGCAAACTGCGTTCTAGTTCTGGCTGCTGGGTCATGGCTCCACCCTCATGGAGCGCCGCCCTTATTCATTTTAGCGGTTTGTTTGCTTTTCAGTTAAAGGAACTTCCAGAGCACACGCAGATTAGTGTGTCGCTGCCGTTGACAAAACTGCACCGGCGGTGCTGACTGCAGAGACGTGGGGGGGTGAGAGCAGATAAAGGCCTCAGGTGGCGCTTACAGCCGTTAAACGTAGTTTATGGATTAAATCAGATAGAAATAGAAATGTTAAAATATTATTATATAATCATATCACAGGAAATACAGTGGAAGGTGTTAAACTGATTCTCGGATAAATCCCTCTTTCCCATGTAACCGCATTAAAGACATTGTGCATGCTGGAATTCCTTATGTTTAGTACATTGACTGTTGTCCAGCAGACATGATGATGATGATGATGGGTCCCGTATCCACGTAAAACGTGCGTGGGAGGATGAGCAGGTGAGTGACTGAGCGCTGTGATTCACAGCGTTACGTTGAGTTGCGTAAGTGTGCACTGAGTCTCAATGGGGCGAACCGGGGAAGTTTGGAAACACTGACGTCACCGCATTAAGAGTCATTAAAGGGGGGGGGGGGGTTCAAAGAGACAATGTCAATAATTCAGGGCTCTCAAGTGTTTCGGTCTCTGGTCACACGTCCAATTCCTCACGGCAACAAATCGGACTCCGCTTGCGTCGGTAACTGGTTAACTGAGGCGCATTCATTTCATGGAAGTAATAGGACCACTTTGATTATGATGAATTGTTATCAAATAGCTAATGACAAACAGCCTGCAGCACACGTAAATGAGTTGCAGTTGTCTCTGAAACCTGTTCTCTCTCTGATATTGTTATGACTCAGTCGATGAGTCTGGACTCATGAGGGACTTTCGCACGAGGCGGCGGACTTGGCGAAGCATTCTGAGAAGACATTTGTTGGACGTGCAAAACGTGCATGCAGAGCCTTTCGTTTCTGAATACATGTCACTGCAAAGCTTGAAAGACGTGCGAAGTGTTGAAAAGGAATTGACAGCGTCCATCTGAAGCCACAGCAGAGTCTCTGGCCAGGAGCAATCAGAGGAAACACAGAGTTTACCCGTTTTTATGGAGGCTGCCAAGCGCAGAGAAAAGGTCACTGGCGAGTGTGCGAGGGGGAAGGAGGGACAGTTGTGCTCCGGGGGCTTGATGTTTACCTAACCTCTGACTGAATGAGACATTCCTGTCTCTGACTAACGTCCCAACTGCAATACAGGAAGTTTCCCACCGAACCGTTCATTCCAAATTCAGCTCTCCTGTCACTTCTAAAGAGATTCTGTGTTTCACTTTTTCATGCTGATGAATATGGGACTCGCCTGATGAGATGTGGAAAGTAGAGAAGAAATGACACATTGGATGTTTGCGCGTTGACTTATAACAGACGCTGACATTGCGAAGTGTGACTGCAAACGGTGAATAGACCAAAGAGCAAACCAGACGATTCCTTTTTCTTTTTTAGAATCGTGTGCTGCATCACAGTGAACACAAGTCTGCATTGAGGTTTCCGTGATTGTTCTCAACTAAGTTGAGTTGTGTTGGTTTCCAGACTAACAGAGTAGAACATCGTACAGAATGGAACGGAAACCAAGAAATCGGCGGTTGGATCGGCGGACGAGACCCACCCAGAAGTTCAGCTGCCATGTTTTCAGGAGGAGGCCCGACTCGATGGGACTGAGGGATCTATACGGCCGAACATGTGACCTGCACACTTTTGTCCTACATAAGACGCCCCAGGACACCGACGCTGTGTTTACTGCCCTCCTTTGTGACGAAGCTGAATTCAACCTAAAACACCATTTAATGACGATTCCTCTTCCTTCCGTGTGTCTTTAAACAGAGTTTTTTGAGAAAGACGATGAACCTGTTCTCTCCTGTCGTGAGGTCAGCTGCTTTTTCCTCTCAATCATCTTCCTCTTTCCAGCCTGTATTTCTTATTTGCTTCCCTTTTGGTATC